AAAATAAATTATTTGGACTGTTAAATACAATAAATTGTTAAAAAATAGTCATACTTTCATTATCTAATTGAGTTTATGACTAACTTAATTTTAGTATTTATCCAGCAACTTTTTAAGAAATAAGTATGCTGTTTGACCCTTAAAAAATGTGACGTCACAATACACAATCTCGTACAGAATTCATAGACAACTGACGTTTTGACAGTTCGAAAAAAGTATTGAATTTGACTAGTTGGCCCAATTATTATTACTTATATGATGTACTTGAATAACAAATAAATCTGTTATAAGGTAAAATGTTATTCACAATAACTTAAAGAATATCGTTTCTAATTCATACATTATTATGATTTAGGCAAGTAATAGAAACATTCTACATTACGAGGAAAACGAGCCACTTTTAAATTCATTAAAAAGATAATCATTCTGTAACCTATACGAGACGTGATTTAAAATTAACTACTTGAAATATATACCCACATTATGTGAATAATTAAAAAAAAATCTTCACAATAATGAGAAAACACGAAATCAATAAACACAGTACATTATAAATTACGATCAAACAGTAAAACCCACTCTATATGCATAGGGTATCTGTATAATGTTTTTATTAATAATAAATATCAGAACATCCCTTATAACGAACCCACTTACAGTCCGGAAACACCTTTTATAAAACGGCTTTCGCGGTGGAGGCATGTGTTGAGGTAAAACAGCGGAAACTGTCAACATTTTTATGAAAATAATCGAGATAATACACTCGATGTTTCAGTACCTACATGATTGTGTATTTGGTGAAAAAGTTGAACCTAATATTGTATTTCGTTTTGTAAATATTTTTAAAACTTGTTAAGAATTATTTTTGAAATCAATCTAGGCTATAGTTTTAGAAGAAACTATAGCCTATTTACAGAAACATGTCAATAAAATATCCTACTTGCAAGTTTTGGTTTGTAACCCATTAAAAGCAATCACTAGGCATAAGTGTTACACTTTTATTACTATAAATGAATTAAAAAAAATCATTCAAGTTAGATGATACTCTTGGTAACCTTGGAAATAACTCAAAATTAAAAACAGAGACAGTCACCACAATAATTACCTAATATACAATTTAATCAATAACAAATTAACATAACATCACGCCTTTGATCCCCGAAGGGTTAGGCAGAGGTGTACATTATGCCACTGTACAATGTAACACCCACTTTTCACTATTTATGTTATGAGTCCCATGTAATAGGGGGTGAGCCTATTGCCATATACCGGGCACAATTCTAGACTCATCAGATTCCAACCCAGTAATACTTTGCTTTACTCGGAAAACGAACACAAGATCCCTTGCTCGGCAGTCGCACTTGCGACCACTCGGCCAACGAGGCAGTCAGTAATAATATACAAAGAAAAATAGCATCATATTACGTAAAAAATGATACAGATTAAGGTCACAGACCTAGAGACGACGGCGTATTGACACGTTGACAGGCGACACTGAGCGGTACAATTCATCATATCCTCAATTGACTGTAATAGTAGCCGACTAGTACTTGTCAAGTGGCAGCAGTACAAACTATACCCATGATGGTATCTAATTCTAGCGTAGGAGTAGTAGTACATAGGTATGGGTAGGTATAGGTACATTAGACAACCAAGCTATTTGGTATATGCAGATAAGATATTTTTCCTCTCTCTCTCTCTCTTTGTTGTTAGTTTATTCTCCATACCTCAGTTTTCGCAGATTTTCAAGTTAAACCCTAAGGTTGACTGGTAGAGAATGCCATATGGCATTAAGTTCGCCTTATGTACCATAAACAAATTATGTACATTAAAGAATAAAATAAATAAATAAGAATATACAGATTAATTCAATACAGAAACGGCAACCATTGGTATTGTAACTTTTGTGAGACATACTAAATAAATTATTATGTTTTCGGCTTACTCACGTAATAATTTAGTAGCAGTAGCAAGTAGCAGCGCGACAGTCGCCGCGTCGCGGGTCGCGAAATGCTGTTCTTGAATATGAGCCTCTAGCATGGCTTGAAACTAGTCGAGTTCCTCGTCAAATTATTAAGTGAGTGAGCCGAAAACACAATAAATTATTTAATACCATTGAGTTAGATTCTGAACCAGCTAATGGTTACAGAAGATATAGTTTGGTTAAAAACTATACAAGGTAATTATGATAACAGCTCCAGTCTCTGTACTGTACTGAGTTAACCTTTACTTTCCTACCTTATTTTTGTTTTTTTTTGATAACCTATTGTGAAGGTTAGCGCCTAGTTTTTTTAGGGAGAAAAAGCTAGATAGTATGGGATTCCTACCTCACTAAAACCATCCCGGGGGGCATCCTATAGAAAAACTTTACACATAATATGAACTTTGAGATGAGTTGATCATCTTTGTCTTTGAACCTATAGTGCTAACCGACTGATTCAGTTTTAGAGTTGTATCCACTTTCTTTTTTAAACTTTCGCAATTATTGTTCTAGTAAGAGCAAGTATAAAAGTAGAATTTTCTTAATGTATCTGTGTAATTAATAAAGTATTCAACATTTACAATGTTAACGATTTAATGATTTTCCCGATTATATATTGCACAGAATAAATTACATTCTGATAAAAAATATTTGTATTACTTATTCACAACAATACAATTTTTTCCTTATACACTATTAATATTTATAAGTTTTCCTGAAAACCCTTGCGAATCGAGTAGATAAAGACTTTATCTTTACAACTTCACTCATTTTATCTCATAGTTCTAAACATTTCAGTGAATTAGAATAATTATTAGCTATTAGGATTAAATACCGAACTATAATCTAAACAGGATGTTTTCATTATAATCTTGTTCTATGTTTTTAACTCACTCATTATAAACAACACAATATAAATAAACATGTTGTATTGTATTCATATTGACTGCCTCATTGGCCGAGTGGTCGCAAGTGCGACTGCCGGGCATGGGGTCTGGGGTTCGATTCCCGGGTCGGGCAAAGTATTAATGGGTTTTTGAAAAAATCTCAGTAGTAGCACGGAGTCTGGAATTGTGCCCGGTATATGACAATAGGCTCACCCCCTATTACATGGGACTCATAACATAAATAGTGAAAAGTGGGTGTAACTTCTGTGTGCACTTCTGTCTACCCCTTTAGGGATAAAAGGCGTGATGTTATGTATTGTATTCATAAATGTCACGCTTTAATCCTCGAAGGCATTAGTAGCTTAGACTGGCAATTTAGTGACGTTTCAAAATGTTATGAATAACCATATAACATAGTACTATTACTGATAAAATTTACTTGCCCCGGAACTCAACTTCGACACGAAAAAATGTTTATAAGAGTTATCGCTACAGATAAATATAGGAATGTAAACTAATCAACTAATCATAATTTTGATTTCTAAAATATTGTTATCAGTGAGTGCATAAGGAAATTTCTAATTGAATATAGATATAGATATTAACTAAAGTTATTGAGAAATTTGATTCACGCGTCCGGCTTAACTACTAGTGGTAGACCACTTGGAGTAGTAAGCATTTCTTGAAATTTCATATAGCACCAAGAATTCTGTGAAGTTATTTATACTATAAGTACTATTTACTATTATGTAATATATAATAATATGTTATTTAATAATTACCATATTTTTTCTCATTACTGTTAGTTTATTCTCCGTACCTTATTTTTTGCAGAATTTCTACTTAAACCCTAAGGTTGATTGGTAGAGAATGCCATATGGCATTAAGTTCGCCATAAATTAATAATAACTATCGTGAGACATACTAAATTAAGTAAAAATGCGGGTTACTCATGTTAATATACTGAGAAAAGCTCTACTAGTTTCGAACCACAGAGGGGTTCTTCGAGCGGTCGCGGCGACGTCGCGCGCTGCTCATGAGGAAGAACCCCTCTGTGGTTCGAAACTAGTAGAGCTTCTTGTAGAGTATAATTCACGTGAGTAACCCGCGTTTTTACTTAAAATAAATTAATATTAGTGGGTTATTCATAAAATTACTTATCAAACTTACTAACGAATCACCATAATCAACATACTTATATTATGTACTTAAAGTGACAGTGTCATTGTGGAAGATTAGGCATTCCTTGACCATGAAAATTTGTTGACTTATTCATTGATTAGGCTGTTTGCGCAGCGATAATCTAGCAAGGAAGTGTAAAAGCATAGATATATTGGTTAATCACAATGTACACTATTATGTATATCTTGTCGTTATGATATATTATTATATCTACATTATAATATATAGGTAGGTTTGTTCCCATGACAAATTCAGTAAATATTTTCGTCCTCTTTCTGCCCTAATTTACCTAACGTAACTATATGCTTATTGGAAAATAAAGATTGATTCAACAAAGAAGCCAACCAATGGTTATAAATTAATTTATGAAATAAAATTTCATACTAAGTAAAGTTTCATATTTAATATTACCATGATAATAGTTACTGTCTCTGAAGAGAATAAATCATTATTCTCTCACTTACATACTAAATGTGAAATCAGTTACTAAAAGAAGATTTATTTTACTAGTAAATTTTTAGATTAACGAGTAACTTAAAATATCTGATAGGGGAAAGTACCATAACGCCGGACCGTACCTAACGCCGGACACTTGTATTATCTCGATAACTAATAACGCAAGCGATTCAATTTTTAGGGGGAAGTATCCCAGTGGCAGACACCTAAGATTATTATTAAAAATTGAATCGCTCGTGTTATCCGTTATCAAGATAATACAAGTTTCCTGCGTTAGTTGCCGTTCGGCCTTATGGGACATTCCCCTACAGTATAATTTTAAATTTATTATTTACTAGCTGTGCCCGCGACTTCGTTCGCATGGAATAGTGACTATGAGCAGCGTTTTTTTAAATATATGCTTATTTTTATTTTGGATCATAATCACAGTCATTTTGGGTAGCTAAAAAACCTACTTTACTGTAATGCTACTCTCTATATACAATATTAGACGTATGGCCATCGGGGGTGAAAGCATACAGGCTGCTGGGATTGCTAACACGGGACAGAGCCGGATTCAACCGCGTTCCTGTGTGGTAAAACCTTCAACCATTTTAACCATTTCAACCATTTCAGCCATTTCAGAAGGAGTAACAAAAAATACACAAACAAACATACATTTACAATAATATAAGTAGGATTCCAAAAGACAAATTTTGCAAATACTCGTTTCCTGTCTTGTGGGAAAATATACCTAATTATGACTATGACTAACAAATTATGTTATAAGAGAAAGTTACACATTCAAATGACTGTACTTAAGCAAACAGAATTATTTTTATCAGATCGTAAAATTCGACTTTCAGTGCAAGTGTAGTAAGGATTAAGCTATTAAAGTATGACTGAGCGAAGTATGAGTCACAGTGAATGAGTTTATAGGTACTGAATAAGCAAGAAAATGCAGGAAACATACTTGAATTCGCTAGTGATACAGATATTCTAGAATGTTTACATGTTTCATATTACTGGTCATTAAAATTAAAAAGTTCTACAGATACGTGGTATGATAACTACTTAAAGCATCAGCGATTACTAATATCAGCTGCAATATATTAAAAGTCGAGTAATTATAAACAAAATGATTCTTCAAAACTGTCAATGCTGTACCAACCGATAATGTAACATTGACGTAAGAATTTTAAATTAATTTAAGAAATTTTAATCTAAACCAGATAAGGTACATATTTGTAGGTACTTTTATCGTCGTATGACGTCATACCATAATCCTTATCGTTAAAACACAATGTTACTATGATATAACTAATCCATTCATTAATTTTTTACAGACGAAACTCTTCACTTCGAAGTCTAGCGAATTCGAGCTCGAAGCGTTGGAAGTTCACAATGAGTTCAGAGCAGAACATGGAGTCCCGCCTCTTGTCCTAAGCAAGGAGATCAGTAAACACAGTCAGAAATGGGCTGAAGATCTCGCTAAGAAAGATTCCCTAGCCTACAGCCTCAACCAGAATTATGGAGAAAGTGTCTACTGCGGCTGGTCACCAGATCCCAGCACAAAAATAAAGGCAAGGGATTGCGTTGAGAAATGGTACAGTGAAATAAACGACTTCTCATTCGGTAGGGAACCAGAAGTACTTACTTGCGGACATTTTACTCAAATAGTTTGGAAAGGCACAAGGGAATTAGGAATCGGCAGTGCCAAGAGCAAATCCGGGAAACTCTACGTTGTAGCTAACTATTACCCACCAGGAAATTACAGTGGACAATTTATTAAAAATGTCTATCCCCCTGGTGCAAACCAGTTTAAAAGAAGTATCAGCTCCCAGAAAGAGACCAACAATAACTTATCACCACCGTCTCCATCGAATCAAAGGAACAGTAAAAACTTGAGCGACATTGCATCAGATTTGGTGAACAAATTCCGTTCTTCTACTATCTCTTCTTCAATTTCTAACGAGAAATTCGATGAAGAGTTTTTGAAGGCGCACAACGAACATAGACGAAACCATGGAGTGCCTCCACTAGATCTTAATAAAAAGCTTTGCAAGTACGCCGAGGAGTGGGCGAAGACGTTAGCCAAGAAAGGGGAAACTGAACATAGAGACCAGAATGAATATGGAGAAAACATATTTTCCGCATGGTCTACTGATCCAAACTTCACAGTGGCTGGAAGAGACCCTGTTGATAAATGGTACAGTGAAGTGAATTTCCACAGATTTGGTCAAGAGCCTTTAGACTTGAAGTCAGGACATTTTACGCAAATCGTTTGGGAAGACACAAAAGAGGTTGGTGTGGGCGTGGCCAAATCTAAAGATGGTCACATTTACGTTGTCGCAAACTACAATCCTCCTGGCAACGTGATCGGCAGCTTCTCAAAGAAAGTTAAGCCTCCTGTTAATTGAGTTTTTACTACCTAAGTTAGTATTTAGACAGCCAAAGAAACATTCCTTAGAATTTAAGGCAATTTAAATTATTTTTAACTAAATAGTAATATTCCATTTATTTTTGTAAACGATATACCTCTATTTATTATTGTATTTAAGTTTACTGTTTAATTATATTTTATACTGAACTTTAAGTATTTTATTAGTCAATTTGAATAAAATGAAGTTAGTCAAATTGACTTAAAACATTAAACTCACTTTCAAGATCTGACATAGTTCGCTACAACTAATTAATACCAAACTTATTTCTACAACATTGTACTGAGAAGTTGCTACATTTTATCTCCAGTAGGTAATACTATTTTTTTATCAAAGTTACTATATATATTAAATTGCACGGTTGGCGCAGTGGCTGGGCAACTGGCTACCGCGCAACGTGTCAACGTGGAACAATTCTTTGTGTGATTGTTGTTCCGGGTCTGGGTGTCATGCGTATGAGAAATTGTATGTTTGTAAACGCACTGTTATGTGGGATCTTGAAGACCAAAAACTATTATTTCAATTACGGGAAATTTAATTAAATAAAAAAATACAGAGTTAGAAATAGACAGTGAAAAAAGCGCTTAAACCAAATTCATTCATACATCGCCTGAAATGCTTACGAAGATTATCAATTGACGTCAATGCATTTAGTAAAACGAAGTAAACAACTGAAGCTGGCTCAGCGGTTTACTTAGCCTTGGTATTTTTTTAAGGGGGAAAATCATCGAATGACTGCACCCGCCTGGGTGAGGCGGGAGGGAGTGTCAGACTCTTACTGACTAAAAACCACCCCGTTCCTTCCCCTGCACGTCGAGCCGGAGCCCCGGTTACCCGTTAGGTTCTAGCAACGTGATGCTGGTATAATAGCACCCACGACACATGAGAAAATCCTATAGTGTGGAAAAACATTAATAAAAAAAAGAGGAAAAATAAAATACCACCACCACATATGTATCAATAGTTACAACCGTGAATCGTTTTTAAAATCCAGTCCGAACTTTAAGTGATTAATTTAGGCCTAAAATATACAGATTCGTTTAACTGATATTAAATGTGTTTGAGCCATTAAGATGAAGACTTTAATTAAAAATAAGTTATTCATAGATTTCAAGAACACTTGTTTTGCAACTAAATAATGTAAGCCCGATTGACGCCTAAAGGTTCATGAACCTTTTGTTTTACGCAAGTATTTTATTGTGAATCTGAGAATGGGTGAGATGATTCTTTAGTAAATGCTAAATTGTTGAGATATTTCTGGCCGTAAAAAGGTTAAGCCCATGAAAGTGCTCCATATCGGCCTTCAACTGTTCGCTTCGAGAGAACTTGCCCACAAAATAGATGTAGATAAAGCATGAATCGTTGCAAGGGTATCTACAAGCATACTTTACTTCTAAAATTTGTTAAATTACCACTACTACGATTCTCAACCTTATTATCAGATACTGAAAGCTGAATTTAAGATGATTTTCAGTCTGATAGGTCCCGAGTAAGGTGCTCGATGTCTCGTTGGAATTTCGTATCATTAGTTTTGAAAAGCGTGTTTTAGAGTTGAGAGCAGTCACTTAGTGGTCAAATAAATTTTTCTAAAACCTTTTTATTTTGGTCAAATAGGTATTTTACTGGCCATGTACCTTTTAATAATAGTAATGTTCATTTTGTATACTTTCATTATACCTTCAAAAGAACTTCATTTAGTTTTATTTTATGTCTCTATTGTGTTGCTAGATTTTTCAAAAGTTAATGATACGACTTTATGGGATAAGCGTGGATGTAGTGTTTTTTTACGTTTTATTACCTAAGTGCCTTTATTTTTAACCTAATTTCTGCTGTATTTAAACAGATAATGGATTTGCTTTTTCTTCTTAATGACGTCATTTGGAAAATAGAATGAGTGTTAGGTAATATCGAAACTACAGTGACGTACAATGCTTTATAGTGATAAAGCATAAAAGTAGCTTGTCAGTCCAGTGGGACTGACAAGCTACTTTTTATGATAACTTTTTATTAATAACTGTAACATTTTGAAAGTATAGGAAAAGATTCTTAGGAGAAATCTATCAAAATTGTACTTTTTACCAAGTACACACAAGTGTTCGAAACAAGTGACTGAATTATTGGGTATGTGGGTACATTAATAGCCATATGCACCAACTTAGGATTTAAAATTTCATATCTCAAGCGGACAGACTCTCTATATGATCCACAAGTTACTGATGTGTGTCCAATTGTCCATGTTTAATGTAAAAAAAAAGTAAAAATGTTATTATATTGTAAACCTACGTCACAAAAGTGTGTGCCATTTTTTTTAAATAATAACCACCATAATTATGTTTATGGACATTCCCATATATCATAAGTCCTATGTCCAAGATCTAACCAAACAAACATACACTCATCACTCGTCACACATGTTGAGTAGAACAACTGCCCTATTTCACGGTATGAATTCAATATTGTAGTTCCAGTGGTTTTGATGACAGAACTTTTATTACAACTACATCGGTACTGTGGACTGTGGTGTGATCATGTTTGTGTAGTGACTGTTTTTGCTGAGAGAAAGTAATATGAATGTCTTTATTAATATTGTTTGTATGGTAGGTATGCATATGGGTTATATATAAAACTAGCGGCCCGCCCAGGCTTCGCACGGGTGTAATATGCATGTATTATACCTCTACAAATAAACTTCCTTAAGAATCACTCTTTCTATTAAAAAAACACATCAAAATCCGTTGCATAGTTTTAAAGATCTAAGCATATATAGGGACAGATAGATGGCGGATAGCGACTTTGTTTTATACTATGTAGTGAAGTAGGTACACCGTTTTAATAGGATTTCAAAAAAGATGGAGTGCAATTAAATGAATAAGTGTGTTTTATTTCCCTCATGTGATTGACAAAGATAGATTCAGTGTACAAAGAACACAAAACTTAAACCTTCCGGTTTATTATCGTGCACTGAGACTTTCAAGCTATATTAGATTGGTTGATTTACGTAGGATATACAGATATAAGATTTTATACATATCATGAAGATTGATTTATTTTCGGAGAACCTAAAGGGTTTACGGGGCTCCGGCTCGAAGCGCAGGAGTAGGAACGGGGTGGTTTTTAGTCAGTAAGAGTCTGACACTCCCTCCCGCCTCACCCAGGCGGGAGAAGTCATTCGGTGATTTTCCCCCCTTAAAAAAAAAGTATTGAAACAGCTATGTAAATTCTTCGTAAACATGCACCGGTCGGCTCAATAGTCAATTACAAGTTACTACATACACACATACATTGAATCAATTTACCTGTATTGAATCAATGATTATTTGTAAACTGCATACCAAATGAATTGACTGAACATACTTGATAAGAAATCGCTAATAGCTCGTGTTTATTCTGTAAATCTGAACTACAACTAGGTCATAATTTTAGATACTAATTGAGGGTTAATAGAATAGTTTATTTGTCAACATTTCTACCTCTCTCAGATATCACAGTAATATGAATAACACTAGATGTGAGTGTTTCTTTGTTTGGATATTTCTCCGTCAATCACGCTAAAACTACTGAATGGATGTTGATGAAATTTGCTATACAAGCAGGGTTTGGGCTGACTTAGGTGATGGGATGCTTTTAATAAAAATTTTTTGTTAAAACAGGAATACGCGGGCAAAGCCGCGGGTAAAAGCTAGTTAGTTATAAAATTAATACTTATATATGTTTGGGAACCTGATGATTATTATTTTATTAAAAAGTGATAAATTATGAAATAAAATATGCCTCATCTCAAAATAATACTTATTAGTGACAAGATTAAAGACTAAGAAAAGATAAAATAATATTTTTATTGTTTTCCAGAGTCTTATTACTTTTGTGAACGCTGGTGATATTAATTACGACACAATTTTAACTATATTAAAGGTAAGACTTTTATTTATTTATAACTTAATAAAAAATAGGTACATAGTGTTATTTAGAGATCCAGGAAATCGCTAGTTTTACCTTATAATAGATTATATCAAAAAACACCTCGTAAATATATAAGGTTTGGTTACAAAAACTTATCAAAACGCCTTTTAGTTACTATCCATTCGTTAATCTAGATCGTAGTAATTTAGGTATAAAATTAAAAATACTTTTTACGAACCGAATGAATAGGTTGCTTATAGCAAGTTTGCTCCTGGTAGGCCGCATCATAGCTTAATCACTAGGAAATATTGTAATCTCACATGCATTAAAAAGATTCATCTTATCGACTGCCACATTGGCCGAGTAGTCGTAAGTGCGACAAGGCAAGGCAAGGGGTCTCGTGTTCGATTCCCGGGTTGGGCAAAGTATTAACTGTGTTTTTCAAAAATTCACAGTAGTAGCACGGAGTTTGGAATTGTGCCCGGTACATGGCAATAGGCTCACCCCCTATTACATGGGACTCATAACGTAAATAGTGAAAAGTGGGTATTACATTGTACAGTGGCATAATGTACACCTCTGCCTACCCCTTCGGGGATAAAAGGCGTGATGTTATGCTATTTTATGCCTCTTATCGAATCCAATTATATCGACACTTACAACTACAATATAAAAATACAAGTAACAGAATAAAACAAGGAAATTAATTCGGATAAATCAGACGTGGAATGGAAAGCTTACATAGGTAACTAATTAGTTGGTGAGGTCGCGACGTGTATCCGAATGCTGAGTGCGGATATTTCCAAACCAAATCTATTTGTAGATTAGGGATTTAAGGTAGGTGTATACCTACAGATTGTAATTAACTGACTCAAAAAAGGAGGTTTGACTTGTATATATGTTTGTTCACAATTATCTGACGATTAGGTGAATCGATTTTAATACAGTTTTCAGAAAACTGTTTGATATACTTAGAAGAATGTTTTAGTTTATTATTATTATTTACTGACTAAAAAGAGGGGTTATAGTCGGTTTTTTTAAACGTCGTAGTTTACAAAAGAATTAATATTATCTGCAGTTTACGTGCTATTATGGTATATGGAATGTAAAATGAATAGCAAAAATACTCGGTAAAATACATTGCGAATTCATTTCTTTAGATTCTTTCGATTTAATTTTTATAACAATTTTAGGGTTTTGGGATTTGTACTGAATTTAATGAAATGAAATATTATGTAATACTAGCTTCTGCCCGCGACTTCGTACGCGTACCATCCCATTTCTTCCCGTCCCCGTTCGTGGCTTTCGGAAATAAGTAAAAAAAAAAATTGGTTAAAAAGTATCTTATGTCGGTCTCCTGGCTCTAAGCTACCTCCCTACCAATTTTCATCCAAATCTATTCTGCCGTTCTTGAGTTATAAGTGGTGTAACTAACACGACTTTCTTTTATATTATATAGATACTGATGTATGTAGGCCACCAGAAACTAAAGTAAAGTCTACTTCAATCCTGATATTTTCTTCCCAGAAAAACTTACCAAGATTTTTTGCTCGACCGCAGCAAAATTTCCTCACGATTCCTCCTTACCTTCACCACAAGTTCCCAAAAATAAAATGTTCCCCAATCTGTTTGGTCCACGTATTTTTCTCATATATCTAGAGGTGCTTGCCTATTACCGTTTATGGCGTAGTTATAAGTGATAGACCGACCTAACTTCGGACGTGAGGAAACTTTCGTTAGGATTGGGAATTTCCCAATTGACATTACAACTCTGTCAACGGATTAGGAAAACGTGAATCTCTTAGGATTAGACTATTTGCATGTATGTACGCTTTGACAAGTTTCTCTGGTTTTGTGTGTGACAGTGATTTAGTAGACATGTTTGTGATGTTAACTTTAACCTTTACGATTTTGAATAAAGCTATATATATTACGTTTTTAGTTATACATTTTCCTTTAACTTTATGCCTAATGCTATTGTCGCGTTAAAAACTTATTGGCATCAAGATGTATCATAGAAAATTCTTTTTTTGCGAGTAACTAATGTTGTTTTGTCATTTTAACAGCAAACAGGTAATGGTGCGGTAAGTAATCAAGTTATTAAATTCCTTATAATATAATAACACGTAAGATTTCACTAGCTTGGATGGTGAGCACACCAATGTTACAAGTTAAGTTATACACAATACGTTTTCAAGTTCGAGCCACGGCCAGACCGTCTAAAGACGGATCATCGGTGATTTTTTTTAAACCGTTTCTCTTTCATAGTATTTTCTCCTGTGTCGACAGTGCGTTTATAAACATACAAGGCCTACATATACACGACATCCAGACCCGGAAAAACAATTTGTGGGTCACACAAAGAGTTGTTCCGTGCGGGAATCGAACTCGCGACAAGTTGCGAGGCAGCCTGCAGTCGATTTTAATAAACTCTCTCCACCCTTCAAGGAATATAAGGCGTGTTGTTTATGTTAATATTTTTAATGTCAAACTTTCTTATTTATGAGATGGCGGATGTCAGGCCGTTCTTGCGGATAATCCGCATGATCCGGGATATCCTTTTGACGTGCAAATCCGATCCCCGGCCATATTTATCAATAATATTTGCATACATCAAGTTCAAAAGGCAGCGAGTTCTATTTGGAGATGGGTTTTAATATTGTAAATGGAGTGTTAGTTTTGTTTTTACGGTTTTTATTATAGGTTTGTAGATGAAGGATTAGACAGAACATATTACTTAATTTATTAGTCTTACGAGTATTTAGTTGGTTAAAAGATTATAAGCAGATTACGACCTACTGAGACAACAATTCGTTAAACACAGAAGCACGACACTGACGTAGGCTCCAACTATTCATTAAGAAACAATTGAACCTCTAAAGTAGACTTCATAAATATATATCTTCCAACAAAGCAATATTATTACGTTATTTAAATGTCTTAAATTAGATAAAGATAAAGATAAAGATAAAGATATATTTATTTAGTAAAACATGAGTAATTACAATGAAGGTGTTTTTTTGGTTAGTATAGAGTCTACATGTTTTGCCATTGATGGCGTACTAAATCATTACTTTAGGCAGATAATACCAATCTACAATCAATAATTATACAAAATCAAATGTCAAAGTTTGAATGAAAAAAAAATTTATAATGTAAATGAATAAAAATAATAATTTAAAAATCACAAGTCAAACAGTTTAAATTATGTCAATTGGTGAACAAAATATGTCAAAATTATAAACAAGATGTCATTATTATAAATATTATAGATAACAAGATAATAAACAATATGTCCACATTCAGGCTAAATTAAATTATACTTACAAAAAAAGTAGATAATAATTATAAAGAAAAACAAATAAATTGAAACTCACAATCAATGCAAAGTATCATTTATAAATTCATCTACGCTGTAGTAACATTTTTCAAGTAATAGCATCTGAAGAGATTGTTTAAATTTATGTATCGGCAAACATTTAATGGCATCTGGTATTTTATTGAAAATAATTGGTGCAATACCAAGGACACTCTTTTTTAGTAGGGCAGTTTTACATTTATATGTACATAATAAATTTTCGTATTGTGCACGAATAGGGGTCCTCTTAACAGTTGAGAATTTTTGAAACAAATGTTGATTTGTTTTAACAAATATCGCCACCTCTAATATGTACATACATGGCAAAGAAAGTATTTTAAACTTTTTAAAGTATGGAATGCAGCTATCCGTCTGTCTCAGACCGCACATAGACCGAATGCACCTCTTTTGCCTTCTGAATATAAGTTCCCTATCAATCGAATGCCCCCAAAAAATAATACCGTATCTTATAATAGAGGCGACCAATCCATGATAGGCCGTAAGAAGTGTATTAGTATCAACTTTCTTGGCTAATTGGAATAAAAGATATGCAGACTTACTGAGACGCGTGCATATTTCATTTAAGTGAGGTCTCCAAGTTAATTTATTATCTATGGTAATGCCTAAATTGAAATATAAACCTCTTAATATGTAATTTATATCTTCTACTACTATTGACAAGTGTCCTACCATATATAATGCATTATAGTGAGGGGGCCATTCTTACTAAGTTAATAGTGATGTTAATGTATACATGTAACTCTACTTATGATTATAAAAGAAATATGAGATAGGTATATCTCATACTCTGCTGAACTAGAATTCGTTTGTTCGATTTTTTTATGGGACAAGCCATCGGCGTCGCCCATGGACACCCAGAACACCAAAGGCGTTACACTTGTAACGCAAGTTACCAGCGTTTTGGGGACGGGAGCCTCCGGTAACCTCACTCACACGACGAAATACAACGCAAGTGTTTTTTCACGTCGGTTTTCTGTGATAGCGCACTTACACAAAACCGACTATCTTCGGAACTACATAGGCTACGGTAACCGCTTACCATCAGGTGGGCCGTGTGCTTTTTTGCCACCGTCGTGGTATGAAAAAAAAACTACAGATGCGATTAGAATAATTCTTTAAAATAAATAAAATAATAATAATAAAAACATTTATTTGCAGTAAACATGGTATAAAAAGGTCTTAGGTTTACAATAGGCACAAACATGTTCAGCTAATAAAACAGCATGCAAAAATTAAATATTAGGAGCTACAAAATATATTAATTGGACATTTACTTTGTCAGTGTTCTAGCTACTGACTTATAAGTACCGACACATTTATTTACAAAATTATTACACATAGTACTAGGACTATTTATTATTATCACTTATTCACATTTAACCATCGTTTTAATATAATTGCTGACAAATGTCTAACTATGTTCTACTAATAACTAATAACTATGTTCGTTTTTCCATAATTTTTTTAAACTATAAAAGTTATGTTCAATCAGCCTTTTTTTTTTGTTGGATAGCGTATTTTTCAAGGAAGACATAGACTATAAAACATCACACTGCGATCAATAAGAGCCGAGCAGACCGGGTGAATTCGCGCGAGAGTAGTTAGTTAATAATATTCTGAGCATCAAGTGATA